AGTTCGATCCAATGTCTCACATAAACCTTATTAAAACACCCAAGTTTGAACCAAATTACTTAGTTCAATCATTTCGTTGGGATAGTTTGAGATCTGGCAGTTCATGAGATCTGGCACTTCATGAGGTACAACAGTTAAATTGTTTATTTATTGTGTCTATTTCATAGAAAGGTACCACCAAAGCAAGTAATGCAAGTAAGCTAGGCATGTCAAAGCTCTTCTTTAGTCATGCTTTATGGAATCTATCATTAGAATAATATATATCCCTCATAGCCTATAACTTAAATTATCCCAATAATGTAATCCCAATAAAGCATGAGTCTGTCTAGGTGTCTCGTTATGGTTTGCTGATGACATGTTGTATCAGTTAGTTAGGTAGTTGACTCGATAACCATCCCAATGCAAACTTGAATCTAAGGGCTCTAATGTTTGGGAATGAAGCAACATGGTGGTCTTAATCTAAATTGATGTATTGGAGCAAATACCTTGAAGTGCTTAGAAATGTCTTAAAGTGTCTAGTGATGTCTAAAATGTTCCACACAATGTTAGAATCAAGTAGACCCTCAAATGTAGAGTGAAAGTGGTTGTCACAAAAAATGTAGCAAAAATTGCATTTTTACATAGGGTAATTGATTACCCTACTTTGCCTAGCAAAGTGGTAATCGATTACCACAGACAAAACTTGCATATTTTGCTTGCAAAATGGTGTTATGACCATGGTTCCGATTTTCGACCTTTTGCTTTGATTAATAGGCATAAAAACTCTCATTTTGTTTGTTTTGGTGATGTGATATCTTTAAGAGGATGTGATTAATCGTTCTTGGAAAACCTGAATATTCCTGCAACAAAAATCACAGAGAAAAGTGTGAATGCATATGCCAATGATGCGAATGCACATGCTTATGTAAAAGGCAAAAGGGAGGTCAAATTTCGAGTTATGACACATTATGTATTAGGTTATTGAATAATGATTATGAATCTTGTGAAATTCGTAAAAAGACAATTATGTCACCATTGGTTGGTTATGGTCCGCATATATCAACAAAATCATGGTATTGCATAACCACCATTATAAGTAAGATTAAAAATTGTGTAGAAATTCTGAAAATGCAACATGAAAATAGATTAACATTGAAGTTTCATGTAGAACCAAGCATAAATAAAGCAATACCTACTTAATTTACAGGACAAAGCATAATCACGAGTTAAATGGTGTAAACAACAGGTTTTAAAAGGCCCAATTCAATGTCATATGTGGGAAATCAAATGCAGCAGGGTATGAATGCTAAGTCTATGCTATGGTGTATGCATTAATAATTAGTGAGGAAGCCACATGAATGTTTAATATTTCATGAAACCCTAAGCATTCATGAAACTCTGAGCCAAATGGTTAATTAGCGTTCGTATTTGAGACACTATAAAATAAAAACCATCCACAACACATTGAATCAAGAAACTTACATCAATATAACTTTTGAAAGTCCACCTTATGAAATGAATGGAGCTCACATATTTTCCTATTCAAACTGGTTTTTGAAGTGCTGTAACAATGGATGGTTAAGGTTTAGGACAGTTTAACAATATCTTGGAAATAATTTTCTTGTTACCAGAACCTTTTAGTTTATTTTCCATATAAGTAATGTTGTGAGTGTTTTAATTAAACATTACTACAAAGTTAATAAAACAAATGTACTTAAATATCTTTAGTTTGGGGTCACAGTAGTTACCCATTTAATTAGCCTTATCTAATTTAGTTCTCAACGGTTTTGAAATATCTCACCAAATTCAAAATTGAATGGTTAATGTTTATTACATAGCATGATACATATAAATTTAGTGTTGCAATTAAGGTTAGCAGAAGTCATGTTTGGACAGTTGGTAATGATGAAATGTAAGATGAAAATAATAATATAACACTGTATGATCTTAGTTTGATAATATCATAGTTGGTTTTCATAGGTAGTGTAGGAGAAAAGTTTGTTCAAAGTTAGATAAAAAACCTACTAATTTCATGGTACAATTGAGAATATCAATAAAATGCAGCAGGCCCAATGACAACCATAAGTTGCAGACAAGTGATTCTCAGTAATACTTAATTCATATACACATGATTTAAGATTAGATTCATTAGGCCATGCAAAGCATAATGTGAATTGTTAAGGCGGTAGTAATGCATTGATAATGCAATACCTAACATATAATGTATAACCAAATGTTGACTGTTGCGTATTTGTTAATGTAGTAGTGATGCATACTTTTTTTACATTACAAAGACGTTGTCGTCATCATTTCCATGTCACAACAGGCTGGATGTTCAATAATGCTACATCAAAATAGAAATAAACACGAAAGTACAACATTGTACGGGTATTTTACCAAAACATTAAAGTGCAGAAAATATATAACATTACAACAGTTTTCATTACAGTCTACTAAAACTTAAACAAAACATCAAAGTGCGGCTAAAAACTATCCTTGTCATGTACGATTACTCCTTCTTGATGTGTTTGACCTTGGTTGAAGAATGCATTGGTGTAACAACTTCATCTTGAGATGTTTCATCCAGAGAAATTAGGAGTGCAACCCTCTTAACAGGGGTGTTGCTAGAGCAAGTCGACGGACTACAATCACCAGTTGATAAGCTTGTGGGAGGACAGTAACAGATTGATTATGTGTTTTGATTTCCTACAAAACACAAGTGGTTCATTAAGATTATCAATTCCATCATAAAACACAATAGGTTCATCATGTTATTAAAGAGTAGTTTACACAAGACATAGAACTTACACTCACAATAGGTTCATGATGAGAATCCGTGTCAACATCGTTGTTTGGAGGCAAGACAGCCTTTGAAGTATGCTGCAAAAAGCATATTTCAAAATTGCGAGTAATTGCATCACATAATGATTTATACATCTTAGAAAAAGTAAAAACAAAATTAAAAGTTTAGTTATCAAATAATATAAACTTCATTTGGATGAAGAATTGCATAGCAGATATCATAAAGATCTGGCTAATTTAGTATTGTTACAACAGAGAATTGTCCATACAAAAAACTATACTTGATTCTAAATGCAAGCTTTTGGTCCAAAAGCTTGTCCAGGTGTATTGGATATATTTTTGGGTTATCCTCGCCAGCCTAGATCAGCAAATAGAAAAGGGAGTTACAACTTGTTGAAATAAGATATTAGGTTTGATACAATGCATATATATTTGACAGTATATTACCTCCTTCATGATGTATCTCAATTCCATAAATTAACATATGGGATGCAACCTATATCCCAAAACACGAAGACATCGACATGTTTTTAAAATTCGACTTCGATCTCTATTTTGTATCTGACAAATGTATATATAGTTGTATATGTAAGCAAAACAGAGTTTGAAAAACAAAGGCATGGGAACATCAAACTCAAATGGAATACATACTTTGTTATGGGCACCACATCTTTAACTCCGCAAACACACTCAAACTTGTCGCCATGAGACTTGCTTGAAATTTTGCAGTTTGGGCAAGATCCAAAATACCATCTAAATTTGGAGGCCTTAAAGCGTTTTTTTGTCCCAATGGTTGTGGCAAAACAGTCCTGCATTTCATGTCATAGTTTGTAATGTCCTACATGAATAACTCCGTAAACTATTTTTTCAAAAAAATAACAACCAACCTTTTCGATCTCACAGATTAGACGGATACTCTTAACCTCACTCGGCTTTGTCCAGCCATTGTTTCTAGTTTGTAAAAATGTTTCCAATGTTTGTGTCAGAAGTAGACGGTGTACCTGAAGTTTGGGTTAATGCCAATCTGTTCCAAATTATAAGACAACAAAATGGAAGACATTGTTTTAAATGAAGTTTATAAAGTATTCAAAGTAGTATTAAAATAAGTGTGCAACACGCACTGTCAAAGAAAATATCATACTTGGATTTAAAAGCGTGAACTTGCGGGTGGTCCAAGTTAATGTGTAGGCACGAACCATTCCATGCGTTCTTGAGAGTTGCTAAAGGTGTTGTAGGTTACAAATTGTTTCGCGAAGTCGTCCCATAACGCAACCTCAATAACATTTCCAACTTCATCGCGTAGAGTAATGTTGACCCATGATTTCTTACCACCACCACCCATTTGGGTTTTGATTACATCTTGTAGAACACCAACAACGTCTGAAGAATACAAAATTGTTAACTTGCAATTGATATTAGAATTATACAACTTTATAATTAATAGAAAATGTTACCGTATAAGAGATCCATGGTGAATTTTCCATTTAGAAAATCGATTATAGGCTTAAATTTTTATTGATGTGGCGGTAATCCGGGTATTGGCAATCTTGCAACAGTGGTTCCTCCGTTGAATACGAGTTTCAGCTTGTTTGGGCATGAGATGATCCAAATCTTTTTGCAAATGGAGTTGTGACTAATAAAAGTAAGAAGAGCATATTGTCTGTTATATTCACAAAGATCTGAAACCAACAGGTTAATATAACACTGCTTTTAAACATGAAGTAGGTAGTTTCTCAACAGCACACTAATAGATAGAGACAAATCTAATTTGTAGGTTCTTAAATACAAAACACAAAAGCACACCAGTAGATAGACTAAGTTGTTGATGTACTTAACATTACATTAATGAAGTCAACAAAACATTAAAAAGCATAAAAATGGAGGCCTGCATAAGATGATCACTCCTTCTTGATGTGCTTAACCTTAGTTGCAGATTGTCGTGGAGTCAAGACTTGAAGAGTAAATACCACATTCGATAAAAAATTGTAATCTTTGGTAACAGTAAGTATCAACAAACAGTGAATTTCCTAACAATACTTTGATACTAACTATGAATTACTCATTTGTCCATTGTAAAAAAAAAACTACTCATTTGCCATGGTTGACTCCCAAAAATCCACCCTTTCTATTTTACTTTCTCAGGCCACGGAATACCTGTGAACTTAACATTGTTAACTATCCAGCTTCTGTAGCTACTTCAGTGAAATATGACATGGGTCTTAGCCTGCAAAGACACAGGGAGATTCATGGTAAGAAGCTGCAATATTATATTTTGGAAATATTCTTTATACTATACCACCAAGCTAGACTTATTCAACCGTTTGTATCCGCATCATATCCAAACATAGGAGGAGCTGCACTCTGACAACTAACAATGGTAGAATCTATATACAGACAAACCTAACAAAAATGACCCTCCCCCTCGTCTTAAAAGGAATACAACACATAAGGATCCAGTGTGGCTGGATTTAAGTATTCAGAATACAACCGCCTTTGCAATAGCAGTTGCTTTATTTATTTTTTTTACAAATTGTGGTCGATAACCAAAAGATATTAACATGCGACAAATTTAACAGAATGAGATTAATGCGACGTTTCTTATTTAGGGTATATGATAGGAATGGATCGGATCCCACAAATGATGATGGGAATGTGTTAGTTAATAGAGATATTATTGGACCTAAACAATGGAGGGTATATGTGAGAAAGAATAGAAAACTCCACAAATAAATAGGAGTTAGTTTAGGTATTATTCTCCATATAAATAAGAGTTAGTTTAGGAATTATTCTCCATATAAAGAGGAGTGTATGGGGCAGTAGTGAGGCATTAATTGATTTTCTGTTTTTGATATTAGGGTTTGGGCAGTGAGAGAATAGTTTCTCTGACTGAGGAGCAGTAGCTCTGGAATTTATTTTACTTTCACATTCATTAATAAAATACTTTTCTTTATCATACTAAATCATACCTCTGTTCTATCAATTGGTCCGACCTACCATTGTTCATGCCCAAAGCTCCTAAGATGGCTGACCGTATTTCTGCAGTGGAAGAAAGGTTGGAAGGTGTCGAGGCTAGCATTGCTGCGTTATGAGAGTTCATTGGTGCTGAGATTCAACGTGCAATGGCTCATCGTGAAGTGCCGCAGCCAAGCAGTGCGACAGTTTCCTCACCGCTAGATGAGTTTTGTTTATCTGCGAAGAAGGTGGAGTTACCGGCATTTACCGGTGACGATCCGGTTGCATGGATCACTCGGGCAGAGACATACTTTGAGGTACAACGAATTTCGCAGGATGTTCGTATTCAGTTGACCAAATTGAGTATGGAAGGCCCTACTATCCATTGGTTTAACCTATGGCATGATTCAACAGAGAAAGTGTCATGGGAGAACCTCTGTGAGGCGATGATGGTTCGATTTGGAGGTGGGCGTTTGGAGAATCCGTTTGAGGAATTAAAGGAACTAAAACAATCGGGATCAGTAGAGGAATATATTGCTAAATTCGAACTGTATTCTTCACAGTGTGGTCGTTTACCAGAACAACAGTTTCTAGGTTATTTCATTGGTGGTTTACGTCATGATATTCGTTCTCGTGTGCGTACCTTCAAGCCTCGCAACCGTTACCTAGCAATGCAATTGGCTCGTGATGTTGAAAGTGAATTTGCAGTGGCTTATGGACAGGGTTCTGGAGCACGTTACAATTCGGGTCATGGTTCTTGGAAAAAATCTCAAAAGCCTAATTGGGCTTTTCGCGAAGGGGAAGGGAACGGATCTGCAACTCAGACCCAGCCTAATAATTCTTTGGGCCAAACGCGGACTGGTTCGGATTCTGGATCTCAAACCGTCTCAACACGTCCTACCAATTCTACAGCATCTTCTCGCCCAAATTTAGGTGACAATTCACGCCGTCAATCTCGTGGTGTTCTCCATCTACCAAGTGCAGAGGTTAATGAGCATCGTGCGAAAGGACTCCGTTTTCGTTGCAACGAACGATGGGATCATCTCCATCAATGTGCAACAAGGCAGTTACGAGTGATTATCTTGGGGGATGACGAAATTGTTAACGATGCAGGAGAGATTGTGGTGTTGGAGGCTGCGACGGAAGAAGAGCTCACACAAGAGGAATTAGAATGTAAAACCATGGGGCTGTTTGGTGTATCCACTAATCCAAATCAGGTCCGAAGGATGAAATTGGAGGGATGTTTACAAGGTGCATTAATTCTGGTACTTATTGACAGTGGAGCCACACATAATTTCATATCACCTAAGGTGGTTGAAGCCCTGGGATTGTCTATGGTGCCTTCTAATCCTTTGGGTGTTAAGTTAGGAGATGGTCATCATGTCCTAACTAGGGGTAGATGCAATGGAATTCAGATGAAAGTGGGATCAGTGCAGATTTTCTTTGATGCTTATGTGTTGGAGTTAGGAGGTGTGGATTTGATTTTAGGAGTTGTGTGGCTAGAAACTTTGGGGAAGGTGACCATGGATTAGAAAGAAATGTCTATGGAGTTCAACCATAAAGGCAGTATGGTGAAACTACTTGGTCAGGCTGTAGATGATAAGATGGCTACTTTCCAAAGCATTATCACTCCTTCTCGAATGATAGCAGGCTGTGAATGGCCTACCTTGATGGAGGTGTTAGGGTCACCGGTGTCGTGTGTCTCTGATCAACAGACTAAGGAGTTGGAAGGATTGCTGAAGAGTCAATTCCCTGATCTGCGCCTTGAGGACAAGGCTAATGTTGTAGGTGGGGGTGATGATAGGAATGGATCGGATCCCACAAATGATGATGGGAATGTGTTAGTTAATAGAGATATTATTGGACCTAAACAATGGAGGGTATATGTGAGAAAGAATAGAAAACTCCACAAATAAATAGGAGTTAGTTTAGGTATTATTCTCCATATAAATAGGAGTTAGTTTAGGGATTATTATCCATATAAAGAGGAGTGTATGGGGCAGTAGTGAGGCATTAATTGATTTTCTGTTTTTGATATTAGGGTTTGGGCAGTGAGAGAATAGTTTCTCTGACTGAGGAGCAGTAGCTCTGGAATTTATTTTACTTTCACATTCATTAATAAAATACTTTTCTTTATCATACTAAATCATACCTCTGTTCTATCAGTATATAAAGAAACTACCGTTAACTTGTCCAGAAATTGCATTGTCTGGCTTCTTTTCTGACTTTGCCTTTGAAAAGATCCAGCCTGTGTGGTTGGAAGAAAATACTGCATAACATTGCTCATCTAATTAGCATAATATGGTATGCAACTTTACATAAAGACATGTATGGAAGTATTGAAACGATAATCAATATATCCGCCACAGGCTAGACATCAGGCAGATACTTCCTTTGTCTAACCAATCATACCTTTAAATTGTCTTTTCTTATTAGCTCTCCTCCTTTTCCTTTTTGCCTGTGTAAGTTCTGCTTCTTCTTTAACATCACCCTTACCAGGGGCCAGCATAGCAGCATCTAAAACAGCCACAGGAGCAATCTACCCATTGAAAGTATAGTGCATTGTAAGTAACTAAAGAGTAGAAGCAGAAATAAATTTTTGAGAAAAGAATAGCTTTTTACTTCTTCCATTGCCAGAGCAGGTACATTTATTTGAAAGCACATGTACTCTATAATCTGTGAAATTCATTTAAGAAAAATAAAAAGACAGAAAAATTTAAATATTCCAACATATTGTTTATTAAGAGAAAATATGAATGTTGATGTCATACCGGTTTTGGAGCAAAGTTGAAATGAGAAAGGGCGTCCAATTTCAAACAGATCTTCTTAAACAGGATGCTAGCCTGATCAAAAGTAAGGGCACAATATTAAGTGTGTGGTAAAATTCAAAAAGAATAACTACACAACCAGATTGAGAGCTGCTCCAAGGTTACTGCAAGTACACAAAAAATAAAATCCAACTAAAAGATTAAGAGATTTAATAGTGGTAGAAATGAAGTAAAGCAATCAAGTGTTCCACCTCATTTTTTAGTTTATCTCTAGCTAACAATGGAGCAAAAGTGGGGTCAATCTTCTGAACACATTCTTGCTGTGAAATTTAAAATAAATAAAAAACAAACATCAGAGGAAAATCACTAAAAAAAATAACAAAATGTATGATTAGGAATTAGAGGCCAAATACAATTTCTAGTGTTGAACACAGTCAAGAAATACGGACCTCATAAATCTCTGCAAGACCCTGCTTGCTTTTATTATCATCCTGCATTACAATGTCAACAATCTCCTTTGGTTTGTTTGTCAAACCACAGGCAGTCTAATAGATTATGAAAATAAAACATGTGAAGAATAAAAGTAAGAGTGTGTGATGATTTCTTCCTGGAATTAACGTCTCCTTCCTTTCGTGGTGTCTAATGAAAGTTCCAAAGCCACGATCAATTATCAATTCGTCGAAATTCAACCCAATTTGTTGACTTTGTATGAGCAGCAGCTGAGAGGGCTTGGTCATTGTCAGCTTTCCTTGAGGATAATAGGAATACTTATCCAAAATCCATTAGTCACGTCTCAGCAGCTCTCAATGGAGCTCTAGCTGCATTAATATGACCAACATCCATAGAATATTCCATTTGTACTCTCACCTGAAAAATTGAGTTAATCAATTATAGCTTAAATCAACAATGATATGAAAATAAGGTCCACAAGAAATCTGCCATATGAAATAGAATCATCAGTAGCAATGATGCAATCTCCACTCACAACCTCAACCACCTGTACTATATCAGAACATGAAAGTTCATTGGTGTTTGTTTGGTGAATTAATCACGAACCTCAAGTTGTTCGTGAAGCCGTTTTTGGAGGTCCATTGCTAGTGATCATAATGTCATTGACATACACAAGCAAATAAATCATCTCCTGGAAAAATGGGTGAAAAACATAAATATAAATGAGATTCAATTTTGGAAGAAAAACATAAGATAAAAAAACCTCAAAACACCAGATTCATTACCGCCATGAAACACCAGCAGTAGTAGCAACCATTCTGAAAATCACAAAAACACATTCTCAATTGTAGCAACGTGAAAAATACCACAATCACATATCAACTATAGATTTTCCCAAAGATAGATTTTCTCTTTTGATCTATGAAGGATCTGTACAACAGGTTCTTGAACAACTTCAACCATGGTTGAAAAAAATTAAAAAACGTCAAACAGAACCACGTGACTCCTATTTTTACAACTATAAATTCATTTTAGACCACATAAAATAGTTGGTGCAAACACAACCATACAAAACTGCCGGCAAAATCTCAATCTTTCAATTTTCACACTTTTAACATTACTGGATTTTTCATTCATGGACGAAAAATCCAATAAGTTACAAATGTTCTCAAAATTCCAATAACATATAAACTACAAAAAATTTTATTTTAAGCAAAAAAATTCAATAAATAGTAACTTTTAAAAAACTCAGTAATTTCCATATAGTATATATCAGTGGAATTTTCATATACACTATTGAACTTTTTATTGTGTACCAGATTTTTCAATTTAATCTACCGGATACTTTGTCCGGATTTTTTGATTAAATTTACATAAGAATATCATGGGCATTATAGAAATATTAGGGGTGCGAGGATAAAATCTAAAAAGCATGCTGATATTGAGACCTATCAACTGTTATCAAGGTTATTATCATATTTAATTATTTATGGTTTTAATTATACAATTGAATATTCTTTTACTATCTTATCATGCAAATCATTTAAAGCTTATTTTTCCGGTAGTTACAGACAACACGTTTCCATTTCTACATTACTTGGCAAACACATATGTGTAACAATTTTGATAGAAGTTTGATAGTGCTAAATAGCATTTTTGCCAGTTTCCACTGTGTATGTTAATCCTGGGTTTCCTGTTTAGTTGCAAAAATTAGGTGTCTCAAGAATACTATACTCAAACATAGTTTATGAAACAGAAAAACACTGACAACAATTGGTGATTCTGCTTACCCTATCCTATTTGAACATTTCAACTCTCTACTTTGTTATAACTATGAAGATGAAAATCTTCAACCAAATACAAAAAATGAGAATCCATACACTTCAAAATTAGATCCATCACATTGTAACTAACATTATTCTGTGCTCAACAATCTAACAAATGTGGTTTCTGAATAGCCAACCTTAGATTCCGAGTTAAGAACCAATGCTTCCCAAACCGTAGCTCCTGGAACAAAACTTTTCTCAACAATTCTATTCATTAGCACAACCGCATCAGTAACCAAACACTTCTGGCACATTTGAAGTATGATACTATCAAATGTTGAAGATCTTGGATATAAACACTTCCCGAACATTTCCTCCAACAAAACACAAGCTTCTTCGATCTCACCTTTACCAACCAAACCATCAAGCATGATCCTATACGTATGCAAGTTCATCTCAACACTCTTCAACCTCATCTCTTTCATTACCCTCTTTGCCTTCCCTAAATCCCCTTTCATGCATAATCCACCCAATAGAGTATTGTAAGTAACCACATTTGGTTTGCATCCTAATGTTTCCATAGAAACCGCAATCTTAAGAGCCTCATCAAAATTATTCTGCTTACACAAACCACTTATATACACATTGTAAGTATAAACATCAGGAATGAGTCCTAATACAAGTATTTCATCGAATAACTCATCTAATTTCACATAATCACCTTCTTTAACAATTCCACTCAAAACAATAGTATAACAAACAATATCAGGTTTAATCCCATCTTCCTTCAGCTGATTCAGAATTTCCAAAGCATCCTTACCCTTCCCTTCCTTCACCAAAAACCTAATCATATTGGTACAATCCATTACACCCGGACAAAACCCTAGCTTCCTCATATTCCCCCAAACAAACAAAGCCTCGGCACTAGTCAAATAATTTTGTTCGCACAACGACGATATTATCAAAGAACATATCTTATCATCCAAACTATAACCATCTTCAATCATACAATTCATTATCTTAACAGCATAATCGACCCTCTTAATTCTACACAACCCCTTAATCAAAACCCGAAAACTCGATTCCTCGAGACGGATTTTCATCTGCTGACTCTTCAACAAAATATCCGGAACCATTTTGAGACACTCTCTCTTCCTACAAAGCAACGAAAGCAGCAAGTTCAAAGAACAAACAGTTGGTGTGCACCTAAACCTAGGAATTCTGAAAAACAAATCAACAGCATCTTGAACCCTATCAGAAAAACCATAGAATCTAATAAGATACAAAAAGATAAACTCAGGTGATTCAAATTTTTCATTATGTTCAAGATGGTTGAGAATATGAGGGATTTCATGGAACTGTAAAGGGTTGTTTTTGGTTAAGGTTTTGATGAGAAAGAAGTAAGCTTTTGGAGTTGGGTCAGTGTTATAAGCTTTGAAAGAGTCAATGACAGTGGAGAGAAGAAAAGTGTTGTTGTTGTTGTTTTGTGGTTGGGGTTGAGCTGTGGTTGCTTGTTTGAGAATTTGCCTAGCTTGTTGTTCACCGAAATTGTGATGCCATGAAGTTTTGTAAGGTGAGTGTGGCCATTTTCTGAATTTTCTGAGGTATTTGTTTGCAGATTTGGATAAAGGGTTTTGAACCATTTTCGGATATGTTAAGGAAGAACAGAATTTAGCAGAGTTTTTGGATTTTAAGGAAAATAGTAACGACCAATTTTAAGAATTGGGTGGTGCTGGTTTAAATAAGAGGACCCTTGAATCGAGTACACTTTCAGATTCTTCATTCATGATTTCTGTAAAATGTACCAAATTGAATGAATCTCTGTCAGTCTTGGCAGTTTTTATATGTTAAATCTACGCTACACACTATTTTACTTTTATAAAAGAAAAAAATTCTAATATTAATACAATTGTTTTTAACAAGAATAAATTAAAAATATTTTTATAAATTGTCACACAAGCGTTAATAAACAAGAAAAAATTTAGATACTGATATAAATAGTTTTATATACAAAAATGAGTTAAAATAATTTTTTTTAAAACGAGAAAAAGTCAACCTATTGATATAAATATTATTGTTGGATTGGTTACCTTATAAAAATTTTAGAGTTTGAAAATAATTTGTATGTTTGACAAGTGATATTTCATGTATTAAATCTATATAAGATATCAGCGGTAGACTGATCAATGAAAATTTTTTGTAATGTAGCGTGTAAATACAGATAGAACCCGTGCGAGGCGCACAGATATCCCTGATATCGCACGGATATTCCGCTAGTTTACTATTAAATATTAATACCGTATTATACTATTTTCAAAATTTAAGTGGTTATTAAGATAGTTAAAAATCTATTTCTTGTAAAATTATTTAAATAGATTAAAGATTGTAAAAGTAAAGAGTAATTTAGATTGACTATATAAGCTTCCTTGTTGACATGTGTTTTGTGAAATTATTATCAATTTTACACTAAACAATTATAAAACACATAATTCAGAAGCTCCCTCCACTGTCCATTGACTGAATCCACTACTATCAAACAAAAAAGTACACAAAGAAGGTATGGAACATATATTCTAGAAGAGCAAAGGAACATCTTTACTTTGAATGTTTATGATGTCTGTGCTTGATAATTCTGGCCTTTTGTCCATGTAAAATTTATGACTTTTAGGAAATGATGATTTGTCCATTTTATGTGTGATAAAAAAAGCCTCAAATATTGAAGAAGTAGAACTCTATGGTTGCAAAAGTTTGCTTAGTGTTCATCTTTAGAGACTGTAATGTTCAATTGGAATGTTGCTGATCCATTACAACTCCAAGTATATAAGTTACACACAGAATTCCAAAACTGTATTAACTTGGATGAACTTTCACTCAGGGCTATTGAAGTAAATGCTCAAGTAAACACGAAGAAATTGGCATATAATCATCTCTCAACATTAGAAAGCAAATTTCTTGACGGTCCGGTTGACGTGATCTACCCTGGAAGTGAAGTTCCTGAGTGGTTCATGCACAGAACAACTCAGGCTTGATCTCTCTTCTGCTTCAAAGTTCAAGTCGATGGGTTCTATCTTTTGCGCTGTTGCTGGTCAGCTCCCGCAAAACGATAAAAACTTCATTGGATGTGATTGTAACCTGGAAACTGGTAATGGCGAAAGGGTCTCCCTTGGGAACACGCCCGAGTTTTTTTCCAACCATGTTTTTATATAGTATGATGAAGTGTGTTGTCTGCAAAACAATAAATGCGAAAAGGAAAACATGGAAGAACTCATGGCCGGTTATAA